GCTTGGCTTGGCTGCCTAAGCAACACTTTAGTCCACTGAGCTATCTCGCCTGCTGTTTACTTTCCAGTCTCTATCATTCCTTTTCTTTGTACTTTGACTCTATTTTTTTTCATTCCTTTGTTGTTGTTTTTTTTCACAACAAATCTTCATCTTTAACACGTTGAACAAATGATCCAGAAAACCATGAGAAAGAAAATAAAAATCATTTAAAATCCTACTGCCTTAAAATAACCATAATTTCTCATGCCTTTCTCTGTGCTTCTGCCCATATATGTACAGGTTTTTGGGGTTTTTTTTTTGGCGGAACCAGGGATTGAACTCAGGCCCTTGCGCTTGCCAGGCAAGTGCTTGTTCTACTGAGCCATCTCCCCGGCCCCACACAGTTTCATGTAAACACGTCACTAGGAAATGGCAATTCCAGTTTTCCAGTTGCTCATGCAAACAGGTGCCGTCCTTAGATCCCCCTTCACTTGGGTCCTTGCTCCTGGCAAGTCCTATTGCAGCTGACCCATGAGCCACACAGGAGTGAGCACAAGTCTGCTGAAATCTAGGACAGCCGTTCTTTTACCTAAGCCTTTTCATGGCTTCCTGCCTCCTTAAAATGTGTGCTGAAGTCCTCACAGGCCCCGGGCCCTCAGGGCCACTCTAGCTTTAAATTTTTTTTTTTTTTAACATTTATTTAGTGTGTGGGTGTGTGTGTGTGTGTGTGGGTGTGACCAGCTCAGCCCACCAGGGGGCGCGGCTGGCTGGCATGTGGTGCTGGGGGATTGAACCGCGGTCTCTGTGCTTTGCCAAGCTTGTTCCAAGTAGGTGCTTTAGACCACTGAGCCATCTCTCCAGCCCAGGGCCACTCTAGCTTCATTCCCTCTACTTTGCTTCCTCACACCCACCTCTGAGCACACCGGCTTCCTTCTGTTCCTCACAGAATTCTTTTGCCTTCAGGTCTTTGAACTATTTATCTGCCTACAGTGATGGCGATCCTATAGCACACATGCTGCCGCACAGTGCTTGTTATCATGAAAAATTCTAGAAGATTTGCCATCACTGGCCTGGAAAATCCTTCCCTTATCCTCATGCTCTACCCCTCACTGCCTTTGCTACCTTTGGGTCTCTATTCAAGTGACACATTGCTAAAGATACTGTTTCTGACAGCTGCTCCTAAATTAGTCATAGCCCACAGCTCATCAGCCCAGCATTTTCTCTTGCTTTTTTTTCTTCATAATGCTTGTCACTACAAAATGTTTTGTCTGTGGACTCATCTTATTTCCAGAATACATTAGGCACTCAATGAGTATTGGAATATCAAAAAATGTTTATTAAGCATCCCTGTGTTCTTAAATTCCAAGCTAACTGACCCACCACCATCCCAGGGTATGGATTAAGGAATTAGTTTTTCTGATCAAAAAGAGAAGCGCTGTCCTTGGTCCTCCCACCCAGCAGAGAACGCCAGGGAGGTACCATAGCTGTGGCCACTTCTCCCTCTCCGAGGGCAAGCACAAATTTATCAGGCCAGTGGGATTGGGGGCATGGCAAAAGGCCTGCTTGGGCATGAGAAATTCCAGGGTTAGCTTATAGGGAAGTATCTGGAAGAGCCATCTGCCTGGTGACTCTGGGGCCGAGAGGAAAGTGGTCTCCCCACTGCAAGGAGGACAAGCCCTCTTTGTATTGGAGACTGAATTTGGTTGTGGCCTCTTTCTGCTGAGAGATAGGGAATGCTGGGCTCCAGGTAGCTCATCTAGGCAAGCCTGACTTAAGTCCAACGTTGGCTCCAAGTGGTTCTTTTTGTCACCTGTGAGTGGAAACAAGGATAGTGTTTGCTTTTTACCACTCAATATTCATTTAGAAGCATTTACACTTTCACCTCCTGAATTGTTCCCTGTCACACGGATACTGCTGTGCCGTATGCTGCATGGTGAAGACCAAGGTGGTGACCTGGGAGGGCAGCTGGACTTAGACAGGATATAAAAAGAGGTCATGGTCAATGTCACAGCTTGTCTTGGGCTAGAAATAGAGGCACATTGTGCAGAAGTCAGGAAAGAGACCTGCAGGGACAGCTCAGAGTCTGGGTTCAATTTCAGAGACTAACATGGGTACAGGCTGCTCTAAAGGCAGGTTGGGAGCCCGGCCCCACACTAGTAGTGCTGTATGGGAAGTTTAGGGGGACATTGCCCGCTGGAGCAGGGGCACCTGATAGTCTGTTATGGAATCCTCAGAGAGACGGACTGTGCCAATCTGCCACACGTTGCTCCTGATGTTGGTGACGTTCCTTGTCCAAAATATAACAAACACCATAAAGATTTATGTACACAAAACATTTTCTTGATTTTATAAGAAGGACAAACAGGCACGACGAATGATGAGTTTTTTTTTTTTTTTTTTTTTTTTGCAGAACCGGGGATTGAACTCAGGCCTTGCACTTGCCAGGGAAACACTTATTCTACTGAGCCATCTCCCCGGCACCATTGAATGATGAGTTGATATGATTCTGGATGATGTTAGCATCATTTCTAGAATTTTGTCATAGTTAGCAAAGGCCATGCAAGGTTTTCTATTCAAAAGAATCTAGTGATCAATTTTTCTATTCTATTTTTATCTTAATTTTTGAGAATCGAGTTTTTAGTTACACTGTCTCATTCAGTATGTGTAGATTTCAAATGAGGTAAGTCATAGAAGCAAAATAATGCTTTTATTTTTGTGAAAAGACTCCTAATTATGATAAGAACATGTATTTTATTACTTAGTAATGCCCTTTCCTTATCTATAACCAGATTAGTTCTACCACACGTGTAATATTTCAGACTTTCACTGTAATGACTCTGCCGCGGGCTTGTGTGTTGAATCTTTCTGCTTCTTGCCTTTCCATTCCTCCTGGTGATGCAGCATTCCCAGTTCGTGTCACTTCAGGTGGCATTGCTTTCGGAGTGATGGGGAAGGAGGCGTCAAGACCACGCAGGCTGTCGCCTCTGGATTCTGCCCTGTACTTTAGTCTCATATTGGAAGTATTGTAACCCCACATCTTTAAGCATTTCCCACAGGACAGGAGGGCTTAAATCTCAGCTCTAGTTCAGCAGTCTTTAACCGGAGAATTGCAAAGTGGGGGATAGAAAAATCACACTGCATCATGATGCGTTCCTCTACGCGAAGCGAAATTTCATTATAACCCACAAGCAACCTGCTCTTGATCTGAATGTGATGTGTCAGAAATACAGATCACAGCAAGGTTCCAGCGTATTTTATTTATCCACATCTTAATCACGGGGGACAGAGGGCAAACTTACTTATCTTTTTGACATTCAACAGAGATCAGTAAGTGGTAATTACTCCAAACGCTGTACAGTTGGTAACACATTGCAAAACATTACCAAGGGCCAAGATGAAGATTCCGTGGAAGAAATCATTTTCACAGATTTATTTGAAGTGAAAGCTGCTGAATATGAAGATGAGCAAGAAAAACTAACAAAAGAGCAGGCAAATATTTTTGTGCCGAGTAGTTCTCCAGGTAATGTTCTTTTCCAATAAAATATTCAAATCATTAATGAATATTAATACTCTTAGTTTAAGATAATGCCTTCTTTGTATACTGGATAAATAAAAAAACGTTGATCTTACACTGTTACAAGTTTTCTATGTTATTCTTCTGTTTTGGACTTTAATATCTAAGTTTTATTATTAAGTGGCCAACCAGGACAAACTGCCGAAAGGTATGATCCCGCGCATTTTAGAAGACGAAGGATTCTATATTCAGAAAAAGCCAAAAATATTTAAAAAGACCTGCAACAAAATGGAAAATCGCCTGCTTAAATTAAGTGAGGCAAGTGACTGGGGGATGAGTTTCACTGCTTACGGGTGGTGCATGACATTTATTTTTAGCGAAATATTTAATTATTATGTTTCTTAAATATTTTTGGTAGGGAAAGTATTGGTTTGAAGAGAGCGGAGAAATAGTGGCGTTACCGTCACCTATTAGACAGTCGTGGAAGTTCAGACTAAACAGAAGTAAGGAATCTTTAAATCCCGCGCTGAAGACTACATACAAGAAGGTAACCAGCAGCACTTTATTTGACCTTGTGGCTGGAATTCTTGTAATATCAATCATAACAAGCTTTTATAGTTTAATTTTACCCTTTAAGTATATTGAGTCTAATAAGAGAACAGATAAACTATGATGAGATATTAAGCATCCCTTAAGATCATGCTTCTGAGGAGTATTTAATAACATGGAGAAATTAAAATGTAAAGTGAAAAAAGAAGAATCCAACAACAAAGCTAATCCTGTTGAGGAGATAGCTCAGTAGAATAAGTACTTGCCTGGCAAGAGCAAGGTCCTGAGTTCAATTCCTGGTGCTGGAAAAAAAAAAAAGCCAATGCTAATAATTTTGAAAAAATAATACATGAATTAATAGTATTCAAGGTAACCACTATTATAATTCTATATGATAGGTTACTCTTACCTGTTAATTTTACATAAATGAGATCTAGGTTATTCTATGTTATTGTATGCAGTTGTTTGCCTATTTAATGTGCAAAATTTCATTGCGTGAAATACATCTTTATCCATTGTGCATTTAATGGCTATAAGTTGTATCCAGTATTAACTATAAAACTTTGCACATGCATTCTGATTATATATAGTTTTATATGTATATACATATAATTTGTACATATACAGAGATATATTCCAATGATTGATAGATAGATAGATAGATAGGTAGACAGACAGACAGACAGACAGACAGACAGACAGACAGATAATGTCAGAGTAGAAATGCTAGTTACAGGTTTGCATGTGTTCAGTTTTAGTATGCAATACCAAACAGGGTTCCTAAGGTGGTTGCAGGAAATTGTAAATGGAGTGTAAGTGCATGAGAGTTCTAGGTGTTTGATTTCTTGCCAACGCTTGGCATTGTCTGGATTTTAAATCTTAGCTACTCTGGTATACAGAAGTAGAAATTCATTAAGGTTTGCCTGATTGGGACTTTTGTTTAATCTTTGATTCCTTGTTGCCCAGGTTTTTGGGCTTTTGGTGTAATACATATATCTGGTTTTAGAGGTCGACTTAGTCTTTTCAAATCAACTGTTGCTCATAACCAATGTCAGGGAGCTTACCTCCCAGGAGAATTCATTTAGTGTTGCGCAGCTTCGCTTATTGTTTCCTGTTGAATTAAGATCTATTCCTTGTCACTTCTATTTATGTGACCTTGACTGGTCGTAGAGAACACTCCACCTCCATGCCAGCTCTTCTGATGCTCGAAGCCTACACTGGCTTCCACCTATGGCTTTTGTTGTCCAGTCTAAACTCACGTCCTTTGAGTGCTGTTAGAAACCCTTCTCAGCTTCTGAGAACCATAGTTAGTAGATAATGCATGTGACAGGGCCAGAAACAGTGGCTTATGTCACTCTGGTAGAAATCCAAAGCAAGTAAGCAGCACGGATTTTCAATGAATGCTGAATCTGATTAACAAGATAGGTATATATAGCTTAGGAACTTCAATCTCTAGAAATTCATTTGTAATTTTCTCATTTAAAATGGAAACTTTGGGGCCGGGGAGATAGCTCAGTAGAATAAGCACTTGCCTGGCAAGTGCAAGGTCCTGCGTTCAATCCCTGGTCACACACACACACACACACACACACACACACACAGGAAACTTTTTTCCTTGTGTTTTTTTCTAGTAATGATTAGTTCAGTTTACTAGCAATTGATGGATCCCTAAGTTGGAGTCTGAGTTGACCCTTAAAGATCACAGGCTTAATAGATGTGAATTAAAGAAAAACATGCCTTGTAGCTGTTTTCCTACCTTCTTAAAATCTAAGTGACTGAGAAGGGAAGATTCCTAGCACAGGAAATATTTTGCTACCGTGCTGGTAGCCTGTATCCCTCGAGGGGCATGGATCTGTTCACACCAGGTTCGGGTTGCGAAACAGTTTTTCAGCACAACAATGAATGTAATACCACTGTCACGGGCTAGGCAGTGGGTGTCTCGGTTCATCTTTCTGTTGAAAATAAAAGAATACCACGTACTCTGTAATGTACAAAGGGTAGAGGTTTACTTTGGCTCACAGCTTCGTGCCACGGTCGAGGGGCTGGTGAGGACATGTTTGCTGTCTGGGTCCTGAGATGGCACAGGGCCTCCAGTGGCAAGAGACAGGGATGGTGCCAGACCAGAGAGACCCAGACAGACTGGCTGTTGTAGCAGACACGCTCTTCACATTCATGGATTAATTCATTCATGAGGCCAGAGCCCTAATCACCTGTCACAGGTTGTCCCATCTCTGAGAATCTCTAAACCATAGTGTATGCCATTTTATACTATACTGGCTCACAGAGAGGGTTCAGTGTTTGTCATTTTGTTTTGTGGTGCTGGGCCTTCTTACCGAGCTCTCTCTCTCTCTCTCTCTCTCTCTCTCTCTCTCTCTCTCTCACACACACACACACACACACACACACACACACACACACATACACACACCCCTCACCCCAGGGATCAAACTCTGGACCTTCAGCTTGCCAGGCAGGCACTTAAGCCATTGAGCTATCTCTTCAGCCTATTTATTTTTAAGACAAGGTCTCCTTACCTTTCTCAGTTTCCCAGGCTTGGCTCCAACTTGAATCATTCTGCCTCAGCCTTCCAGAGTTCTGGGATTCCATTCATGTGCCACCACATCCCCCTTCATTGTTCTGTTTCCTAGATTCATCATGGCTCTTGCTAGGAGAGACTAGAAATTGATGAACTTAGCTATACATGTAAGAATTAGGCTGCACATACAAAGTAACTCACCAACCTTCTCAAGTTACATCATCAAAAATGAACTACATAGATATTCAAATATGTGTGCTGAAATTCAACATGGACTAGGCCATCTGTGAATCACTTTACACGTGATCTAGGCCTACAGACTTTTACCAACTCAGGGGCAATCTGCTATTCAGACAGAGACTGTCTCTCTTGGTCAATTGCCTGTCTCTGGGATAAAAATACCAATAATAACATCCTAAAGGAGAAGAAGTTCATTTTGGCTCCCAGTTTCCGTCCACGGACAGCTCATTCTAAGCACCAACAGGATGGCAGTGGGGCCTGGTGGAGGAAAAGATGCTCAGCCCGTGCAGCCAGCAAGCAGACAGAGAAGGGGACACAGGGTAGTAGTCCCTTCTGGGTCGTCTGCTCCTCAGACGACCAGGCCCCACAGCATAGCAGCCACAATTTCATCACTGGATTAACCCACTGATGAGTATCGCACACCCATAATCTGGTAACCTTCCCAGAGCCCCACCTCTAAGCACAGACACTGGGGGGACATCCTAGGTCTAAACCCAGAACACTTCTCATGGACAAAAAGAAACCCTTCCCTTGTGCAGCATTTGTTTAGGTGACTGAGGTAACTCCAGGGAATTTTCCAGATGATCACCAATGTATTTATTTAGAAACAATACTGTGTTAAACCATTACTGTTTAACTCTGGCCAACAGATGGTCAGCATACCATCATGTAACCAAACTCCATAAAAGATCGTTACATTTGTCATAGAAAATTATTTTTGTCCCATAATTCAAAAGTCCAACTTCTACCAGTAAGCAAGAGTAAGGTAAATGACAATAGTTTATAGCAATATTATTAAAATGCTATAATACAAATAGGTTTTATGAAATGAAAGACAGTAATGAATTCTAAAGAAGACCATTATTATTTTTGTTTTTCTGTATTTTTTGTACAAGTTACAGGCTACTTTTATAAAGAAAAATTCTGCATAGTTTTTAAGAGGATCAAATTAGCATTGTCTATATTTTTCTTTAAAAGGCAATAAAGTCTGAGAGTGGAAGTTCTTTCAGGAACCAAATGGAAGGGCAAAGAGAAGTGTACCAGCTAGATCTCAACATTATTGGCTTGCAGTTCAGCCACCATCCTCTGTTCAATCAAGAACAAGTGCTGTGTGCCAGGCTGCTGCAGCTTTTCGAATGTTTCCAGGACAGGCGGCAGCAGAATTTACCGCAGCTGCTTTACGAGAAGGTGAGAAGGGGCTTCGCTGTGTTTCAGAGCTGAACATTTAATATAGAAGAGAAAAAGTTCTTAACGTACCGCAAGTTGTTAGAGGACATGTTCCCTTGGTATTTTTAATCAGAATAGTGATTTGATTTTAGTTTCTCTGGAAAAAAAAAAAAACCCAACCCTGAGAGTTCACTTGCTGGGGAAACCCTCAAAAATCCTGCAGTAATTTTTATCACATATACATTATTTACTGATCAGTAATATTGTTGTTTCTATGGCTTTGACTTAAAAGAGCCATGCCAATTTTTAAAAGTTTTGTAATAGAGTATTTTTTAAAGTTTTGATGAGAATATTGGAGGTCTTGAGTTTCATGTCAAATGGAAGAGTGTTGGTCTGAGATAAGCAATCCGATGTATCATCTAATGACATTATGAAGACTTTATATAGATTCTGAGGAGAAATTAAGAGTTCCACTAATCATTTTCACAAACCCTACACCTTTCACTTAGACTCTGCTGGTATAGAGGACGTTTTCCCTTGGTATACGTGAGCATTTTGTTAACTAGCATTCTCTCTGACAAGGTATTTTGATAGATTTCATTAATCTGAGTGCATGAAAAATAATCTAAGGTCTCTGTATATAAGTAAGCTAATGAAACAAAATTGTTATCACTAGATTAGATTTTAAGATTAGATAATATTGTCAGAAAAATTCTATAAACTAGAAATCTATAAGCAAGTTACTTTTTTTTGTAGTACTAGGCATTAAAGCCCATTTTAAAGTATTTTGTCAGGGATTTAAACACTTAACTCTGGTGAGGTAGCAAGACAGCCTTAGGCAATCAGTGTTCTACTAATCAAGAAAAAATGATCATGCAGGGGCAGCCAGTAGTGTCTGACATCTGACAGACCAAAATTGTAAAGACATCTTTCTATATATTTTTGTAGTGTGTGTGTGCAGTGTGTGTGTGTGGTGTGTATCTGGTGTGGTGTCGTGTGTATATGTTATTGCGTTTCCTTCCATCTAGAGTTCATAGCTGTGTCTTGGATGAAGTTGGGTCCTGAATCCATTTTTCTCCCAAGAGATTAACCAAATAACAAAACAATACTTTTTGTTCTTCCATATTTAAATTCGGTGCTTAATTTACATAATTATAATTATTATATAATAATTTACATAATTTCTACATTTAAAATATTGACTTTAGAATAAGCCAGTTTGACATTATATTTATGTAAGTTTAAGAGTTATTTATTCTCTAGACATACAGTCTGGTTCTGCCCTGTTTTCATGACCATGTTTAATTACTAAATCATGGTATGTAGTAGAACAATTGCTTTTTCATTGTTATTTTCTAGCTGTTTTAGGTACTCTTAATGGATTTAATCTTCCATGAAAACCTTAGAATTCATTTGTCACCCTATATTTAACCTTAGTACTATTTTATTGTGGTTGTACTATATGTTGCATTGTAAAGAAATTTGGTCTTTATAAAAATTGAGTTTCCAGGGGGGCCTGTGGGTTAGCTCAGTTGTTTAAGTGCCTGCTGGGCAAACCTAGTCAGGCCCAGGGGACCACAGTTTGATCCCCAGCTCCCCATGCCTTACCAGACTCACCCTTAAGGCAGCCTGAGCCAGAAAAAAAAATCCTTCTATAAAATTGAGTTTCCTTAGCCAAGAATAGAGTGTATTCCTATTTGTTGGGTCTGCTATGTCTTCGAGTTGGATTGGTATCAGTTGACTTTAGTCACCTCTGGGACAGATTTCTCTTGCCAGAAGTTTTGAATGTAGTTTCCTTCAGTTTTATTCTCTATGGAAGTATGTTTAGGATAACTATTTTATACATTCTGCAATATTATACCTTCTTTCTTGATTTTATTTTTTTCTTACTTTCCTATGTTATGTGTTACACCTTCATGGAGAAACATGGATATAAGTTATCAATATCAGTACATAAATATAGGTGTGACAATGGCAGTGTCTTTATGGGTGAAGACAATCCTTTTACTCTGGGGTTTTAAGTGGAAGATGAAGCACACATCCCCCTGCTCAGTCTGCCATCTTGGTCCAGTGGCATCTCTCTAAGTCAGCTGATTAATTGATTGCCTAGAATGTTGAAGATAGTATATGTATTGCTTGGCTAGATATTCAGGATCTTCTCAGTTCTGCTCCAAACTTCTTATATGAAATTATATTTTGAAAAATGAGACAGTAATACACAAGAGAGTTTCTCCTTTGTGCTTAGGCCTGCAGATGAATTACAGTAATGCTTCAGGTGGATGTAATGTACCAAAGAGTTACTTTCTTTGTTACAGTTGAAAACCCTGCTAGATGCTACCCAATCAGTGAATGAAAACTTTGAAATAACCCAGCTTATCAGAAAGTCTTTACAAGATTATCACTGGCAGATAAGGTAGGTTTTGACTTATTCGTGTATTCATCAAAACTTGCTATAGACAATGTAAAATGAGAAAATTACAAAAGCCTTAATGTTTATGAAATTGCAGAGACGGTCACAGTCATTCTTAAAGACTTGTCTTTGTATAAAAATACTTCACAGAAGTGCCATGAGAAAGCAGGTGTAGTTTGTTTTTTTTTTTTTTCCTCAGAACCAGGGATTGGGCTCAGGCCCTTGCACTTGCCAGGGAAGAGCAGTTATAGTTTTAATATTCACTAAATTTTTAATGTTTTCTAAAAATACTTGTTGAAGAATGTTAGTATGAGTTCACTAATACTTCTAAATGCATCTGATATTAATTCCAGGGGTTGTATATGTGCACATTTACATATGTACAAAGTACGTGAGCCCATCTAAAGAAATGACTCCATGAATATATGAAGTTTTAGGGTCCCTGTCAACTCGTAAAACCAGAGCTTACCAGTTGAGAAACACTGGCTATAGCTAGTGGAGAGAAGTGACCGGAGTCTGAAACAACCGGGAAAGTATAAAGTGAAGCATGATAACGTGTCAAGGAAGTTTCAAAAGCAGGAAAGCTCGTTTGGAAGACAACTTGCTTGGTAGAAAGTTCAATTGCTCACAAAATATGTAGGTGGAGGTGACTTGATAGGTGCCCGTTGACCTGACGTAATTCCACAGACCCTTAGCCACAAGGGACGAACGAATGGCTGCTTTCCTAGAACAGTCTTTTAAAATGCAGATAATAGTATTTGAGGTTAGACTATCCCTTTAAACAGGGTCTGGCACGAGATGAGTAAGTACTCAAATACTAGCTGAATAAGTGAAAAAAGTCAGTATTTATAATGCAATAAACTGGTGTTATTTATATTAACTATAATTGAAGGCAAAGAACAAACATGGACATAATAAGCACAGAACAAGGAAACTTTGAAGTACAAATAAGAGAAAAATTGGCTCTCTTTGAGATCCGGTGCTGGTGGACTGAAGTACTGACTGAGCAATCACAGTTTTTGTTTTTGTTTTTTTTTTTGTTTTTTTTTTTTTGTGGTACTGGGTAACAAACTCAGGACCTTTTGCTTGCCAGGCAGGTGCCTGTGCTGCTGAGCTATCTCTCCAGCCAAGTAATCACATTTATTAAAACAAAAAACCCACAGTTGATTAAATTTTGATTCAAGAAAACTTGAGCTTGTGATTTAGAAATGTTGTACAGGGTGGACTTTGAGCATTTGAAACCAGTGTTTGTTTTAGAAGAGATGTGCAGGGCCGGCCAAATAGCTTAGAGGATTAAGGCACCTGCAAGCAGGCGGGGGAGGGGGGATTAGGGCACCTGCAAGCAGGCGGGGGAGGGGGGATTAGGGCACCTGCAAGCAGGCGGGGGAGAGGGGTGGGCTCAATCCCCAGGGTATGCTGAGACAGCGATTGAGACTGAGCGTGGTGGTGCAAGCCTGTAATCCCAGCTCTTGGAAGACTGTGAACAGATGGATCACTACGAGTCCAATCTAGTGGTGAGACCCTGAACACCCTGTAGACCCTCCCTAAAATACAAAAAATAAGAGAGAGAGATGTGCACATGAAAAACAATAAAAACGATACACGTGTCCTTAACCTTTAATGACTGTGTACCCGGAGCTGGCGCCCAGTTACCTGGTACCCAGGAAAGACATCTCCAAGTCACGTACGACTCTTCTTGCTGCTTCTGTCATTCTTCATGTCCAACTAGTAGCCACGTTATTTCACTTTTTATTTTTTTTCCTATATTTAGGACAGGGTCTACAGGGTCTCGCTACATAGCTCGGACTTGTAGTGACTCTCCTCTTTTCAGCCTCCCAAGTGCTGGGATTACAGGCGTGCGCCACCGTGCCTGATCACAATCGCTGTCTCAGTGCACCCCGCGGGCGGGGCTGGCACAGCACCCCAGGAATCGAACCCGGCCGCTGTGCTCTGCCTAAGTAGGCACTTCAGTCCACTGAGCTATCAGGCCGGCCCATGCTTTGTAATTTTTCAAATCTCTTGCTCCTCCTGTCCTTGCCCTCCCCTGCATTCTCAACAGGTCTGCGTACTGCAAGCACTTATCTTCCAGCTGGATGGCTTAGGGTGCTAAAATACCTCTCTTTACACCCTTCTCCATACTGAAACCAGAATGAGTTTGTGCAGTGAAGAAAACCTCATTAATGGTTCTCCCTACCGCCTGCAGGATAAAATTCAGTAGCTCTAGCATGATTGGTAGAGAAAACAAACAACTGGCAAACCAAATATATACTCTTTCTGGAAGGGCACAGCTTTAATCCTAGCTCAGAGATTATTCATACATATAAGGAACACCACTGTTATAATAAAATATTCAAAACCTCTTCTGTTGCAATTACACAGAGATATCAGGGGAAGGAGCACCAATAATCAAAGAGATATGTAGCAAATGCTTATGAAAGATAATGCGAGTTCCAGCCCTGGTCCCCCCCCCCAAAAAAAAATCATAGATAAAGCAATTATCAAATAACTTTGTTTAACAAGAGTTACAAATAAAATGCAAGGTTGAAAATATCTCCAAGTAAGATGCCGTTCTGGGAGGACAGAAAAGGATCTCACTGTCCCAGCATGGGGGGCTGAAGGGTTATCACCGATTACTACTTCTGAGTGCAGGGCTGCCTAGAGACGGAAGCGCCTGTCGTTTTGCCTTCCCTTGTTATTGCAGGCACCTCTTCTATCTCCTTTCAAGCTCTCTTGAAGTTCTGACATCCAGAATTGGAATCGGCCTCACTGTAGTGGCTGTGGAGCCACCACGTGGAACTTACTCGGGGACAAAATAAAAGTTGTGGCTGCCTTAAGCCATACCAAAGCAAGCGAAAGCAAAGGAGGGCCTGTACTACCTGGCTTGCAGTTTCTATTTCAGTGTGACACAGTAGTCAGAAATTAACTAAAATCCTAAGTAGATTTCAAGAGCAGTTATCAAAATATATGGGCTTTCTACCTCTTTTCTTTTATTGTTATTCTCTTCCGTACCCTTGTCTCTTTAGTACTTAGTATCTTGTGGAATTTTACTTAGGGTATTTCTGTTTGGGGGAGAATTTGCATTTTAACAGGGACTTTTTGAATAGTGGAAAAACCTTTAAAGAATGATTTTCTTAAATGATAAATTTTTAAAATATTTTAATAAAACAGCTATCAGGTACAGTGGAAAACAAAGTGGCGGTTGACAGAAATTAGTGTAAAATATTCTTCCAGACCACTGTTAATAGCAGAGAGTTCCAACCAACAGACACTGATTTTGCCATTATTATTGCAGTCATACAAAACAACTATATAATTTAGAGCGGGAAAAGGACCTCTCCCTGCTGCACAGTGTATTACAGACCTGGAAACAGATAAAGTCCCTTAGACAACGGCAAGGTTTTACAAGCACTGCAGTAAAGTTGCTCTTTCAGAGGTAAGAAGCTGGCTTATTTGCTATTGTCACCTAAGGAACTGTTCGTGAATAGTGGAAAGTCACAGTCACTGGGGAAAAGTTCTAGACTTTACACAGCCATCCCATGTGATCAGCATAGGACTTATATCTTGAGGGGTTCTTACAATTTAAGAAAACAGCCTAATTTTAAAATGGACACAGGGCCAGGGAGATAGCTTGGCAGTCTAAGCGCCTGCCAGGCAATCCCTGGTACCGCATGCCATGCTGGCCCCAGAAGAGCAGGCCACCAAAACTGGGCATGGTGTCACATACCTGTCACACACCAGCACTGGGGAGGCTGAGACAGGAGGATCACTGTGAGTTCGAGCTGCATAGCGAGACCCTGTACCAAATACATACACACATACATATGTACTCACATACATACAGATTTTTTTAAAAAGACACAGGCTTTGAACAAACACTTTACTAAAGAAGGCATATAGATAACAAATGAGCACATGAAACAGAAATGCAAATTAAAACCAGAATTAAATACTACTACACAACTATCCGAATGCCTAAAGGTCTTACAGGTGTTGTCCCAGATCCTGAGCCAAAGACGCCTTCATTTATAGTTACTGGGAATGCAAAACCCACATGGCCACCTTGGAAGCACTTTGGCACTTTCAATATACATAAACCTGATGACCATTTATGTATCATATAAACGTATGTATCATACCGTTTATATGATACATAAAACGGTAAAATATGTCTCCAAGGCGAAGCATATTTTAGATAACTGGATGAAGCTGTACATACGTACTAGAGAGATAATTATGATGCAAAACCAAGTTTGCAGATCACTTAAGGTCCTTGTGAGCTCAAAGTGAAATTACTAGTTCTTTCCCCACAACTCATTATCCTGGGTCTTCTGCAAAACTACAAACCCTCAGTGTAATTTCAGACAATTAGGAAATCTGTGTCTTTTGTTGATTTTTTTTCTGCTGCAGGACATTTTGTCTTGTTTTATTGTGGTAATGTCGACTGAACCCAGGACCTTCAAACTGAAATATATATGTATATATATATCCTCATCTCCCCTTCCTTTTAAGTTAGGGATAAGGTCTTGCTGAATTGACAGACAGGGTTCAAGCTTGCAGTCCTTCTGCCTCAGCCTCCTAGAGTGCTGAGCTTCTCGGTAGACCTAGTTTAAGGATTGCTTATGACAGTTCATAAACTGAAGGTCAGCATGGTCTGCACACTTCTAAATTAATGTAAACTTGATGACTTGCTTCTAATCAGTTAAACCAATTTGCTACACCTGTGTGTTATGACCCCCCTAAGCGACAAAGAAGAGCCACAGAGGTCACAGGATGCCCGGAATGGTGGTTCTGGATCCTAGTGTCTGGTCACTACCAAATCTTGTTCCCATTATTCTGAACCAGTAATTAACGTTACTAGTTATGTCACTTCAAGTTCCCAGCCTTACAGGCCCTTTGTAGTTGTTCTTACTGGTGTTTAATTATTCAATCTACTCGCTGGGTTTGGGCTTAGAGTCCTCTCTCCTGACTGCTGCATTCTGGATACCTCTGGCCTAAATCCCACAGTGTCGTTGACTAGATGGGCCCTGGGAGAACCAGCCTGCAGTGACCCTAAGCTGGCGCACTTTAAGCCATTCAGATGGCCTTTTGATCACTGAGAAAGGCAGTATGTTTGGAGGTGCTTCCAAGCTCGCTGCTTATCCCTGTTGATCAGCACAAGCCTGATCCTTTTGGACCCTAACCGCGTCAGCGTGCAGGAAGGCTGTTTATGACAAGGGGGCCTGATCAGGGTGTCTCTCCTTCATATTTTGTCTTGAGACATGTTGAATTGTATAGGACTTTAAGATTTTTCCAAATAAAGCAACTGAGTGGGCAGCTGGATGTAGGGGCTGTGCTGAAAGTAAGCATGAAGCTGTGTCCAGTCTCAGCCCGTGGGTCTCCCGCGTGTCATTTTTACCTTCTCCCTAAGTAGATTCTGAATAGCGAAGGCTTCAGTTAGCTGCAGAATTGTAGCTGAAGCTAGTGCGGTGCAGAAACTACTTAGGGAGAAGGCAGAAATGACCTGAGGGGGAACCCGCGGGCCGAGACTTCAGAAGCTGCAAGGAGAGGTTTGGAAAAGGATGGTGAATCAGAGGGGTGGTGGTGGCACACCTGCGGCCCGTGTGCTGCCGCAGGCCCTGAAGGCCCTCTCTGTTACACACGAGCCAAATTCTCCCAGCCAATGACCGACAGATTACCGGCGTGCACCCAACAGCGGAGATCACATGAATTATGTGAAAGCACGCTGAATGCAAACTTTTACTTTTCAGTAAAAACTTTTGGTATCACTGAAAGCTGTTACTGAGTATTTAAGACAAAAAAAAATAATATGTGACTTGGTTTTTCTAATTAAAATCTCAGGATTTATGATTAACTGTCGGGTAGCACTTTGTGGTGTCTGTGGGTTTTGGATTGCTGTTCGGGCACTCGGGCTCTGAAGGTTCAGCTTTCCTGGCTTAGAGCCTTTCACCGCCGAAGCAAGGAAAAGAGCGTCGTGTTTTAGAGGGGGAGTCGCTGACGATGCTTAGTGCTTCCGAAATACCACTTGGGTTCACAGCTGTGCACGCCCCTGGACCTCCTGACACGAAGGTCCACGGTAACCTTCGCTAGAGCAACTTTGACAAGGTGACAGTGGCGGAAGCGGGATGGCAGGAAGTCACAGAAGTATCCCGCTGCCCCATTTTGGCAGGAAGCTCTCTGTCGAGTGTGGCATGCTGACCACTTCCTTGGGATGTGAAGTAAATCGTTGTGAGCAGCTGGTCACGGATGAATGTGCAGAGGTGCGCTCGCATGCGCGCGAGTGTGTGCGTGTGTGTTGGCACGACCTCCTACAAGTCCCACATACTTGCGTCACTTCCGCTTTCAATACTGCTGTTTATTACTAATTAGGACACAAATGGATGAACAAGCTGAAGTGTCCGAAGTGGCTGAGCTGCAAGAGAAAACGGAAGCGAAAGTACTGAATGGAGAGAAGCACGAGGTATTTTATCACAAAGGAACACTGAAGTCTCTTCACCTGTTATAGTTTTTCACTGCTTAGCAGACTAGGAAGCTTTGTGCTTGTAACAGATACCTAACAAACAATCAATTTAGAAGGTAGAAGTTTACCCTGAAGAATAGTTGTCCTAACTAATTTGAAGATGACATCATGCAATATAGCAACCACTGTTGGACTGCTAGTACATTGTTTAATGAAACTTTGTATCATTTCTAATGGTTTTTTTTTTTTTTTTTTTTTTTACTATTTTGTATTCTTAAAAAAGAATAGTTGTCCTAGATGATGAATGTACATGGTAAATTGTTTGTTTGTTCATTTCTTTATTTTGTTTCTAGAGCTTCTCATTTTTAGCTTCTGAACTTGAAGAAACAGAAATGGAAAGAACAAACCCAACTACCTTGAGGCCCCAACTCTATTTCACAGCAGAACTCACAAACTTATCCAAGTGTCCACCGTAAGCACTTTTAAGGAATTATGTTTTTATTGTATATTGCCTATTAATTATATTGTTCTTAATAATAATAATAATAATAATGTTAGATTTCTTGGATAGAGAGCATATGTCAGACACTCTGCTGAGTGTTTTTAATTTATATTTTTATATTTAACTGTCATGGTAGCTCTATGGAGTCTTACATTATCTCTATCTTAGAAGTGAAGGACTTTGTGCCTGAGCTGGAACGCAAACCACTTTGTCTTGCCATATAGTGTGGAATAAGCTTAGTATATTGGACACTGTTAAAAATTCCGTAATGGCAGTAATGTTACAGTAAGAAGGAGGAGGAGGAAAGGGGGAGAGACTGGGAGGAGAGATGGCACTGTCGCCGTTCCTGGTTTAAGGTGCTTGGCGCTCATAGAACTAATCCATATAACTTTATGGAGGGCTATGAATAGGTTTACAGACTCTGCCCTGAACTGTAGCTGTCAGTCTCTCTTCCACTTACTGTGGTAACCAATAGAGGTTATTTGGACTATAAAGCCACAAGAATGTATTCCACAACACGAGGGCCCCGCAGACATCTTCCTTCCTTGACAGTTCAAACATCCTTCCTTCCCCATTATAGCTGCTTCCTTGAATTACACACCTAAGACCAATGCAAAAATGTGCACCATGTGCACTGGCCTTTCTCTGATCTGCTAGGACTGTGGAGCCCATTGACCTTAAAGAGCATATGGAGGGGCTGGGGAGATAGCTCAGTAGAGTAAGTCCTGAGTTCAAGCCCCAGTACTGAGACAAAAAAAAAAAAAAAAAAAGCATATGGCAATTTAGGCACTGAACTGGATCCAGTTTTTAAACATTTATACCCCATAGAAGACATTTTTCTAATCCACCTTTGAGTGTTGCAGATGTGCATCAGTTATCACAGAGCTGAAACATAATGGGCGTCCAATACGTATAAACGAATGAGTGGGCATGTCTTCCTTGCCTTCCTTGTTGCTGGGATGCAATACGCAGCACCCACAGGTTCATACGAGTTTATTTTTAGTGTATGTTTTGGAGGCTTCAGTCTACAGTCAGCTAGCTCCAGGGCAGGTGTGGCATGAGAGACGGGCCTGTGCAGAGGAGTGCTGTTCCTGTCTGGAGGGCCGGGAAACAGTGAGCAGAGGAGCCCACGAGGGAGCCGGAGCCCATGTGGTCACCCCAGTGACCCGCCACCCCACCCAGGTTGCTTCCTAAGGGCGAGTGAGCTACAGTAGCCCAGTAATGCAGTAACCTTCCAGAAAGCCCTCGGTAAAAGTGGGTGAGCCTCCTGGGGACCACTTGGGTATAAATCATAGCAAGGTGGTTCCATCTTAACTGGATGTGAAGAGCAGCAAACATAAATGTTTAATTATCCCCACCTTCTTTCGGGCCCGAGGAGTCCAGCAGCGAAGCAAGGTTTTATTTGCTCTATACCTCTTTTCAATAAGTTCCTGGAATCATTTATTAAGTAAGACACACATGGAAAAGGATCATCTAAATGAGGGTGAGGAAACAGAAGCCACAAAAATCTAAGCTGGAAGGAAGGGAAGGAAGAGAAAGAGCAGCACACTGATGCTGAACAACCGTGGCTAAAACAGAGTGGAAGTCAACGCGAAAGGATATTTAATCATTTATCTCTCTGTACAGCTGTAGTATCTAAGTGCTGCAGTCCAAACACCCAACTCAATAAAAACGGACTCTGGGGAAAACAGTCATATGACGATATCAAAGATAAAAATGAAAAGAACTCCAAGATTAGAGAAGAGTTTAAAATGATTTATAGCTTGAAAAAAGGCAAGAGTTCCTAAAACTATTATGCTGAATTAGCAACATTTCAACTTATGAGCTCAGTGTTAAAGCTGTAGTTGCAGAGCAGCATAAAGGGCAGTATGTGCTTAGCTGTTCACCTGAAGATAACTAGGAAGAGGCCGGAAGAGGCCAACAGGGAGACAGAAAGCAAGCGCTTGTATTCCCCAAACCTGCGGCTACAGATGAGACAGATGATGGGGCAGGGAGACTCGGGGCCCTTGTGTGCTGAGGGTGGGGAGGGAAAGGGGCTTTCGTGCAGGAACCTAGGGCTTGTCTTCCAGCCAGTCTGTCCCTTCTGAAGAAGGAAAGAAAAATCTCTTTCAATAGGTTTCCTTGCAGCTGAGAAAAATAGTAACTGTTAATCGATGGACGAATGGATGGCGGACTCCAAGAGTTCCCCGGCATTCACAGCATCATCCTGTTTCCAACAGATGTTTCCCTCGAAGCCTCAGGGTAACCTGGCTGGCTTCTCTGACGTTTGGGTTCACAGGAAGAACACGTGCCTAACTGTCCTGGAGAAAGTGGTTAGAAGGCCTAAAGCCTAACATGATTCGCAAAGATCTTTAAGAGTACAAGAGCCCAGCACTGTGAGAAGCCAAGACAAGAAGATGGCAAGTGAGAGCTCAGCCTGGGAAACTCACCAGGACTCCTTGCAGAATAAGAATAATGCAAATCAGCTTAGGAAATAGCTAAGTGGGAAGGTCCTGAGTTCAATCTCCAGTACAGAGAAAGAAAGAAAGAAAGAAAGCAATAAGATGAAATGAATTGCAATGAAATGAAATGAAATGAAATGAAATGAAATGAAATGAAATGAAATGAAATGAAATGAAATGAAACGGGCCTGGTGTGGTGGTGCACACCCACAATCCCAACACTCAGGAAGACGAGGCAGGAGGATCACTGTGAGTTTGGCACTGGCTTTGACTACAAAATGAGTTCAAGACCAGGCTGAACTGCATAGTGAAAGCTTGTTTCCAAAAAAAAAAAAAAAACACCAAACAAACAAACACAAAAAACCAAGAAAGAAGAAAAGACAACAGAAAGCCTATTACCTATTGGACATCTTTAGAATGTGTGTGCGTGGAGCTTGGATTATGTCTTATAAAAGTTAGGAAATATTTTGAACTCCTGGTCTAAGTCCGTCATTCACGCCCACGTCCCCTATTTTTCTCCTCCTATAAAACATCTGGTGGGTAAGTGCTATAGTAATATAAATGGCTGAATGATTTCTAGTACCTAGATTTTAGTTCTTCTTCTATTTTCCAGTATATATCTTTTTTTAAAAAATAAAATCTTGAGTGGGAAAGGGAAACTTTTACCCATAAAGAATTAGTTGTTTGACTTAATGACATCATTTTTCCTCTAAATGATCTTCTTTATAACATGATAAGATACATTTTGATGAAAGAATATTACACACTCAGTCTGCTTTTCATGGTTCATTTTAAGATTTGTTTTACTTACAGGTATGAGCAAAAGAGGAGAGCCAAAATTCAGAAGTTGAAATATTTTATTAAGATATTCTACAACAACAAGCAGGTTTCTTGCACTTCAGTATCTTGCCTACAATTTGATTTTAAGGTCATGTTTCAGCAAATTTTCAATATTCGGTTAATATATTGGCCGGAAACAATTTGCTTGGAGGTATGCCACTGTTATTTGCTTTCATGTCTTATGCCGTGCATCCTTCGCCTTGTTAGATATTATTCTGTATGACAAGTTATTTCTTTGACATTAAGAAATCACAGATTTCTACACCTAGCAATATATCTATAATTAACAAATGCAAAATCTACCTCTTTTCAGTCTTTTATGTCATAATTACATTATTTGATTTGTCCTTGCTCCAAATAATTCTCTCCTATTAAAATTCTTATCAACCATGGTTATGCAGCACTATTTTTCATTCACAAGTGAGTTGGAAGAGAATTTTTTTATGTAGTTAGTACAGGGTCTACAGGGTCTCACTACACAGTTCAGACTCGGAGTGATCCTCCTGTTTTCAGCCTTCCAAGCGCTGGGATTACAGGCATGCGCCACCATATCAGCTCACCCCGGGTACAGGGGGGATTGAACCCATGCCCCTACATCTGCCTAAGCAGATGCTTTAATTTTCTGAGCTATCTGGCTGGCCCAAGAGAATTGTTTAAAGTAGCAGAATTTGCGTGCATGTTGTGACCCGTGGGTATTTCTGCACTTTTCCCTGGCTTTGACTTGGTGAGTTTAGTCTGCTCCTATATTTTTTTTATCAGTTTTTGGTAGTGTGGATCCCTTTAAGAATCAGACAAAAGAACACAAAATAGACCCCTGATCCATGCCCCCAACTTTCTGTTTTAAATGAAGAAGATAATAGGATGATGGAGGAAATTAGGAACAGTTCAGGAAGTTTGTCAAGAAGTCCTGATTGCTAAGTGGCTAAGCTTGAAGCTAGACTAGAAGTAAAGTTAGGAGGGGAAAAAAGATTTATTAATTTATTTCTTTTTAGAGAACATACCAACATTTCTCCCAGTTTTAACAGCACCATAAGGGTCAAAATAAGGCTTTTTTATTGAAAAAAAATTATGCTTATAGTTAGGGCAGTGAACTTACATGAAACCTAGGAGAAAAGACAGCACTTTTCTTCTTCTAGAGCTTTCTTTCCTCCTAGTCCCCATAGCTTATGAAAGGATTAGATTCCATGAATCAGTGACTTGCCCTTCTTCCTGGGCAGTCTGACCACATTTTAATAACTTAGAACTATATAGCTTGGTTAGAGCCTCCATTTCATTTATGACATGAGAAGAATAAGATCTATTTACTATAATTCTATTAGGTTTAAATGAGATAGAGAATTTCTAAAGTGCTACAAGATAGTAAGTCACTAAGATATTGTGCTGTACATACTTATAGTCTCAAAAACATATTTGTAAGCTTCTTATGTAGTTCATTTTCTAGAAAACCAGGAAAAGGGATTGCATTTCTAAGGTCATATGATTATACGCTTTTCCTGTTAATATGTGAATAAAATATTATATTTTTCTAGTATTTTTAAAAAGTGAATACAAGTATATTATTGAAGGTCCTTATGTTTTTATTTTTCTATTGTGTAATTTTAATTACATTGCATATTTTTATTTCTTATATTTAGGTATATGAAATAAGTAAAAGGACAAGTTTACTGGCAAAACTATATTTACCCTTACCCAACAACACAGAGCTGAAAGGCAAAAATGTTTTGGAATATGTGGAATTTAGCTCTGATAAGCTGGTCAAGCCTGCAAATGGAGAGGCAGGAAGCAGTGAGTTGATTTCAAATGCCCCTTCCCAAATTTCTTCAGAAGACACTGAGTCTTTTACAAGAAGAATGAATGTTAAATTAGATTGCTTAAAACTTTGTCTTGAGTCAGATCTTTGGGAACTTTAAAATTTGCAGTCAGCACTTCAGGTATGTGTAGACCCTGGAAAGTTATGCTTTTGCTAGGCCAAGAGACGAGAACCTGCTCCTCCAAACACAAGCTCTGCTTCTGTAGGAAGAGCTCTGCTTCTGCCTGCATCCTTCAGTAAACCTCAGGGTGTTCCAGGACTTGCGATTAGCCTTCCAGCTGTATGGGGAAGGGAGAAAGAAAAGGAAAGAGGGAAAGAAGTACAGGACTAAGAAAGGGACAGAGACAAGAGGAAGGAATGTGTCTGCTCATTTGCATTCCCAACGCTTTTACTTGCGCAATAAAGCCAGCACTTATCTCTGAGACTGCTGTCTTTCCTGTCCTTTCCCCAAGCTTCCTTTGTCTTAGCTTCGCGGGTGGGGGGGGGGGTTTGCATACTTATATTCATTGGAGGAAAAGGAAGAAAGTACGAACAAGTGAACAAAGAAGAGGAAGGGAAAAGGAGGCAAAAGAGCCCAAAAGACGGAGAATGAGAGGAACATGTTATTTTCTTAGGACCCATGCAAAGCAGACCGACATGTGGAGACCCGGGAAAAACTGCACTGAAAAGTCTAGGAAGCCTGGGAACTCAGCACAAGCTTATGTGGCCTTGCTCAACTCTCTAGAGGTTGGGAATAAAAATGAGGATGGGCAGAAGACTGAAGACGACAGAGGAAAGTGACAAGAGTCTCTTCTGCTGCCAATGGTCTTTTTTTCTTCCACAAGCCGTTCCCAGAAAGAATGGTTGAGAAAGGTGCAGGCATTAGAGAAGGAAAGTAGAGACGTTGCTCTCTGTGTAGCCTGCTCGGTGTCTTCCCTCTTTTGTAGTTCGGGGGAAGCAGTCTCCCCGGAGGTGTCTGACAGAAGACATTAGCGAGAGGGCTTGGGAAAAGCTGGGCTTGGCACAGAGCTTACTTCATGCTCCTGGGGCCCCCAAGTGCAAATAAGGGGCGATCCGCCAAGTGCGTCAGACCTTGCTGAACAAATCCTATGTTTTTGATTCCTTTTATAAACAGATGTGCCTTTTCTTCTGGAGGGCAATACAGCTGAAGAACTTTGTCTTTTAACATCAGGAAAACTTAGCTACTCTCTGTCATGGGCCTTAGATGAAAATGGCATTCCTCTGGCACCTGTGTCACGGTCATTAAGATCTACGAACTGCGGGTAATAAAGTGTTACGTTTGAAAACTGATGAGGTCTCAGCCAGGCCCCCTGCGAAACATACATGCGTAGAAGGGTGAACCCGAGCAGCGGCGGGAGCCATTGGCCTCCTTGGATATTGGCTGACTTTCTCCCCAGGCACTGGATGAGAGGATGCCGTGTATCTCTGCAGGGCGTAGGCTTATAGCCACGTGGATGATGAGAGAGGCATTTTCATGATCCTTAACTTATAAGCAAAGGCTATGACTCCCAAAGATTTTATTGCAGTGTCTTTGAGTTTCCCCGTCATTCTGGATTACACGGAATGATGGATGCATTATCTTTTTTCAGGAAGGAAAACCTTAGGAATTTTATTGTGTGTCTCTGGAATTTCACATGCCCTTTAGTGCTACCTCCAGCTCGTCTACAAAGTGAAATTCTTCACTACTTTGATCTTGAGCCAAGAGATAGCTTCGCGCACCTAGCGCTTGGTTGTGGAGACGGTGTGCAGATTACTGTGGATTTTGTCACAGTCTTCAGCTAAACACCTCTAGAGGCAACTGAAGGAGTCAAACGGGGCTTTGGTTACTTTACTGGAGGCAGAAGTTGTGGGAAAATCAATTTGCTGAAAATCAATTATAACTTTCATTGAAAAAGATAAACTCCTTTCCAAAATCAACTCATTAACACTTAAGCCATGCCTTTATGGCTTTCTAGGGAATTTAGGCTAAAACTGTTCTTAGGAAAAGGAAAATACATTTCATGATGTGTCAGGTATGGGGTTGGGGAAAGCCCTTATAACAAAAACATTAAGACTATTCCACCAAGAGGGCACGCTAAGAAGTAAAAGAAAAATTATTCAAACTTCATCTATTTGTAATTGTGCTTACGTGCCACCTCTCCAGAAGTGGGCTTTAGCCGCAGTA